TACAATGTTGACGAAAATGAATGGACCCACAGCCTGTTCCAAGGCCAACTCGGCAGCGCAAGTGGATCGACCAATAAGATATTGGGAAATGAAGAGTGGCGAAGTGTCATGCTATATGTGTTGACCAACCTTCTCGAGGTGCAGCCGTTCGTCGAGTAAGTTCTCAATGAACTTGTTTCAATACGCCTTGAATATTCTTCATGCAACCCCACTGATTCTCGTTCGGATAGGGAATTTGTTCGTGAGTCCTGGCATCAATCAAGGGATCCTACCTCGCAGGAACATGACACCCTTCTTTCTCGGGGTGTGGGTGCAGGGAGGCCTAATTTCATTTCTTGGTTTAAACAAAAGGTAATGTCCAATTTAGCTCCCACGTTCCATATTCCAAGTTTCTCGTTCGTTCGATTAATATAACGACCTATCATGCTTGAGCTTGCAGGCCCAGACTGACTCGTCCATGAGTGAGGAGTTGAGACAGGTTGTAGGCGGCTATGATGTTAGGGTGCAGTCATTTATCGGTTATGACGTGAACAGATATCGCTTCCACACAACAAGATATGAGCAGACTCGGCCCAAACAGAAAACCACAAATAGCGGAGTTTGTACGTCCGGCACTGATGGCCTCGACTATCATGGTAGAGTTGAGGAAATCTATGAACTCTCATTTCATGGTTACAAACATAAACCTGTCGTGTTGAAATGCCACTGGTTTAATCCTCGAGAAACGAGACGGACCCCTCATCTTGGGCTAGTCGAGATTCGAGAAGATTCCATCTATCCAGGAAAAGATGTCTACATTGTGGCTCAACAGGCCGTGCAGGTGTACTATACGCGATATGCCAACCAAGACAAAGCGGATCTTAAGGGTTGGGCTATTGTGCACTAGGTGTCTCCACACGGTAATCTACCTGCCCCAAACGATGACGATTACAACTTCAACGCAAACACATATAATGGACAGTTCTATCATGAAGATGGGCTACCAGGCACGTTTGAGATAGTCTTACCCGAAGCGATCGAAATGGAAGTAGACAACGAAATGGAGGATGACGAGGTTGATGGAGATGTGGTGCAAAATGCCAAGGACATAGAAATGCTTGACCGATTAAGGCTAGGCAATGACGACGAAGACAACATAGAACCTTCAGATAGTGTTGCCCATTTGGACAATTTTGACAGTGATGACGACACCTATGATCCTAATCATGAAGATTATTCCTAATACATGTAATACTACGTTTGTTTTAGTTTGTGTTTTCTTTATTTATTTTGAATCTATTTCTAATATATATACTAATAAGTCTTGTTCATTCTTTGTGATTGCAGGTGATGGCGAGCAGCCGTCCATGACGTGAGATGGCCTCCCTTTACGGGAGACCATGCCCTCCCATTTCAGACGAGGGGTCGGGGTCAGGGGTAGCGTCCACAGGAGGTCAGAGGAGGAGGACCAAGGTCAGAAGGAGGCAACGGACTCCTTCCCCGCCACCTTTAGACGAGGTGATGGAGGAGGAGCACGTGACGGCCACGCCCGAGGATGAGGTCGAGGATGAGGATGTTCGATAGACCGAGGACGAGGCGGCCGAGGACGAGGCCGCCAAGGGCGACAGTTCTGCTACCCCAATTGTCTACCAGCGAGGTCCCGCGAGCCTCCCTCAGCCTCTGCTTCCTCGCAACCGGGCACTGATTCACCCTATGGCAAAGAGGTAAGTAACTATAGATGTTATCACAGCTACTTCATATGATAATGTTGGAAATCAAAAGAGGAACAGATAAATTTTCTTAATCACTTGTGCAGGGCCTGGTTGGTTTTGTCGGGTACTCCTGCACGCTCCCCCATGAGCATCCTTGGTGTTTTGTGCAGGAAATGGTACCCCGGCCTTGTGAACGTGTCCAAGGACGTGCGGGAGCCGGCCTACATGTGGGATAGGTACCAGTTGGCCCCTAACGACAGGTACCGCAACAAGCAGGAGCGGGTACTAGCGGAGTTTTGGGTAAGTCTCTCTCACACAACATTTTCATTGGGCAAGTCTTTTATTGAAATAATGAATGGATACATCGGTTTTGTATGCAGAGGTATTTCAAGCTGAAAGAAGGACTTGAGGCCCGGGTGGATTAGGCGGCTGCCACCGCCTGTAGGAAGTACGTCACCGACATGCACCACAAGGCGCGCGTGCAGGCCCACAGAGACTACTACGTCGTGGTGTTGAAGCAGTCCATCAGCAAGCCTGATGCAAGACAGGTGGAGCTGTCCTGGGCCCAGTACCTTGAGGTAGACGAAAAACATTAATAATGATTCATTTTGAGATTAAGTCGGTTTAATTTTATCTTTTTCTATGTCAAATAATCGATGACTTGTAGGTGATTCCCTGGTGGTGCCGATCCCACTCCGTGTGCTGGGAGATGATCGTGGATAGGTGGTTGTCCAACGACTTCGTTGAGAACCACGCGAGGCAGCGGGACTAGCGTCTGCTGAGGCGAGGTGCTACTCACCATCAAGGCAGCCGTAGCCTCCCCGCCTACAAACAAGCATATGTAAGTGATTTCTTTTATCTTATTTGACGCTGAGTTCTGCCTTATTTCTCACCATCTTGCCGTCTCACTCGCAGGAGGCTGCACACCCGGGCGTGGAGGTCTTGGAGTTCTCTGCGTGGGCTATGTCCCACATGGGCAGGGCGTCTTCCTCTGTCTCCTTCGACCCGTCTGCCCCGCGTGAGGTGTACTTCGACCCGACCGTGCACACTAAGGTCCAAGAGTATACCTCAAAGGTGAGGGAGGTCTATGGGGAAGATTATGATGTGCGCACTGAGCCCATTGATGCAGAGACCATCATGAGGCTAGGAGGAGGTAAGAAGCATGGGCGGCTGTGGATTGCAGATGGCGCCATCGACTCCACCACTGTCCCCTCTCTCGACGTGCTCCGAGCACGGAGCACGAGCTCTAGCCAGCCCATACGCCCACGGCCTACTCCGTCACTGCAGCGGGTCGATGCTCTCGAGGTACGTCCTGTTTTACTCATCGTACGTTCATCTTTGCACACCTAAGTTACATTTGCATTACTGAAACATTGAAGTTTGTATTGTAGGCCGAGCTGTAGGCCCAAAAGCTCATGGTCGAGGCTCAGAGCGCGCAGCTGCAGGCCCAGAGGGAAGCGTTCGTGGCCCACGAGAGGAGGATGCAAGAAATGGAGGCCTTCATGTGGAGTGTCCAGCAAGGGGGTGTACCTTTGCTGTTGGCAGCTCCTCCACCGCCTACTCCTACAGCCACTCCTATAAGTATGAAAGTTCACTCTTACTAGATGCTTCCTTGACATACAACCATGGTTGACATACAAACTTACTAGATGCTTGACATAGAAACTTACTAGATGCTTGACATAGAAACTTACTACATGCTTGCACTAGCTATGACATACAACCATGCTTGACATTCTCAATTTACTAGATGCTTGACATAGAAACTTACTAGATGCTTGCACTAGCTATGACATACACCAATGCTTCACATAGAAACTTACTAGATGAATCTCACACATGCAACCTCTTATCCTTTTTGCAGCTTCCGTCGGCGGGTTTGAATAACCCCGCTCATGCGTCACCGAATGATGGAGCCTTTGCTTCACCATCGTGTCATAGGCCGCCTTTTTGAGGAGTTGTGCTTCGTCATGTGCTTGGACTTGAGCTTCACTTGTGGTTGTGACTTGTGCTTGGACTTGATGGACTGTGGTTGTGAATTTGTGACTTGTGGTTGTGATATTTGACTTGTGGTTGCGATATGTTGTTATTTGAGTTGTGGTTGTGATATAATGTGTGAAAATGGTTTCGTTGTGATATATATATGTGATTATTGTGATGTTTGTGATATATATGTGACATGTGATATATATTTGAACTGTTTGTGTCAGTGGAATGCAAAAAACAAAAAAAATTACAATTTTGGTTGATTTGCCGAGTGCAACGGTCATGACACTCGGCAAAGCTGGGAAACTTTGCCGAGTGCCAGGACATTGCACTCGGCAAAGATTTTTTTTTAAAAAAAGCAAAAAATCTTTGTCGAGTGCTAAGCTGGGGAGGCACTCGGCAAAGAGCTTTTTAAAAAAATTAAAAAATGGCTTGGACGAGTGCGTGCCGCCGTGGCACTCGGGAAAGAGTTTTTTTAAAAAAATAAAAAATGTCTTTGCCGAGTGCCTTGCCGCCGCGGCACTCGGCAAAGAGTTTTTGAAAAAAAAATAAAAAATGTCTTTGCCGAGTGCCCTAACTGTCGGCACTCGGCAAAGGCGCCGTCAATGGAGCAGCGCCGTTGATGGCTGCTTTTCTTTGCCGAGCGCCGCCGTTGGCACTCGGAAAAGGCTTTGTCGAGTGCCCGATAAATGGCCCTCGGCAAAGAGCCTCTTTGCCGTTAATTTTTTTTCGAGGGCTCTTTGCCGAGGGCGGCACTCGGCAAAGCCTTTGCCGAGGGCTTTTGGGCCTTTGCCGAGTGCCCTGGGCCCTCGGCAAAGAGGGCGCCTCTAGTAGTGCAGGTTTTGAAGTGTACAGAAAGGTCTGCAGGTTAGGACTTTGGGATTCAGATTTAGCGGAGGTCCTCGAGGATGTTTCATCTGAGCTAGGTGTTCCGACACTTCCTGAGTGCAGCACCTCTCAGATATACTGGAATAGTGCATTGATGCTGGATCTGAAGGAGTATCTAGAAAGCTAGAACACTATATAGCCCCTAATATCTTTTACCAGGTTCTAAGATTAATGAGAGCTCCCCACAAGAAACAACAGCCCCACATCAGGTGAGTGAAACCAGAGGTGAAGCTTGCATTTTTCAGAACATTTGATATTCAATTTGGATCAAACTTGATTTTTGGCATTGCCATTATGCAAGATATTAGCAAGGTTTTTAGCATAATGGTTAGCCTATCCACGACAAGGCATGGTAGAGGTGCTGAGCGTCGGGGTCGCCACGACCTCCGTGGGTATGCCGTCCGCCTCATAGGATTAGGCGTCGCCTAGGCGCGAATGGCGTTGGGCGGGAAATCGAGCGCACGTCTGCTCCTGAAGACCCGCGGTGAGCGCATATATGCTCTTGTGCGGGAAATTTTCCGCTCGGTGGCATTTACTGCGGGTGCGGGCAGCTTCACGGGGAGAGAGGGAGAGGAAAAGAGAAGGCCGAGGGCGGGAACTCTTGGCAGCGGCGGCGGCCCTGCATCTCCGCTTGCTACTCGTCTGCTCGAGTCTAGCGGCTACCGCATTTCCCACGAGGCCGCCCCTGCATCTTCGCCTGGCTGCGCAAGTCCACTAGCGGTCTGCACCTGCTCGCCTATCTCCGTCGAACGGCCGGACCTGCACTCATCGGACGTCTGCAGCTGCTCGCCCACCTTTGTCGACTGTCTGCCGTCAGCCTGGGCCTAGACGCTCCCTGCCTCCTCTCTGCTTCGAGTCGACGTCGCCATCTACAGGTCCATCCGCACCTCACCTGTCCGTCCACTTTGAGTCGCCGTCCGTAGGTCCATCCGCACCGCACTTGTCTGTCCGCCTCGTGTCTGCGCCTTCGCCTGGTATGTCCCCTGCCTCCTCTCTATCTCTGATCTCCCAAAGGCCAACTCCTAGGCATGTACTCTTGTAGTGTTATCTGCTCTTTGTGCTCTGCTTTTGCTCTGAATATAGTATGCCTCGTGCTCTGTTGCTCTGTTTTTTATCTGAATATTGTATGCCTCGTGCTTTGCTATTGATTTAAATATTGTATGCTCATGTTGTATGCATGTCCCTGCCTCCTCCCTTGCTCTGAATATTTATTCTAAACTCTGCTTTGCTTTTGCTCATGGTGTGTGCCTATATGTACTCTGCTCTGAGCCTCTGAATATTGTAAGATGAACTGTTGATGCCTGCTTTTTATATTATATGGGTTGTCACTCACATACAAATGGCTGCTTGTGCTTGGGCTGTCACACACCCTGCTACAACACAAAGCACAAGGATCTTTCTTTGATTAGTATAATGTCTGCCTCTGCCATAGTGTCGTTCACTTGTGTTCTTTCTTTAGTTTACTGTTGTACAGAACAAAAAACATAAGGCATACAAAGAAAATGAATACTGCTTCCCATAGTGCCATACTGCTTCCCATCTGATTTTTTGTTTGTAGATGCATACAAAGAAAAGGAATAGGCTGCTGCACAAGAGATTGAATGATATTGTTTTTGTTTCATACAATCGGAAGATGAGAACAAGGGTTCAGCTTATGCGTGAGAAGGCAAGCAAGAAATATGACCCTTTGGTCATTGAGGAGTTTGATTGGGACAATGAATGGGCTGATTCATTGCATGTGCCCATTCCGGGTGCTCAAGGGTATGATGATGTCAATGACCTCACATGGTAGCATGTTGATGAAGCCACCGGTGCATCACAAGCGCTGCAGGAGAGATTGATAGTCGTTCAAGAAATGTTCTTGTTCCTGCTACTGAAGATGGAGAAGATGAAGATGAAGTTGAAGACCCACATGATGATGCAGAAGTGAGCGAGTGTGAAGAAGATGGCAATGTTCCTGCTACTGAAGAAGACAATGCTGCTGATCCTGATGAGTTTGATGATGAATTTTGAGTGCTGAAACAGAGATTTACACTCATGCTGATGGATTCTTTTGTTTCCTTCACCCTTGCTGTACTTTTGTGTTGTCCTGCACTCCTGTTGTATGGCTTTAATGTAGTTGGCTTAATTAGTATGCTTTAGAGTTCAGTACTTCATTCTAAGTTTGTGGACTATTTGAGATAGACTATGATGTCATTTGTCATGCTCATGCATGCACTAATGCTTGCTAATTTATTATCTTGCCTCTTGTGTATTGTTTCCTATTTAATTCTCAGCAACTGATAACCTGTTTGATTGCTGAATTCTATAATTGTCATGCAGTTTTCTTCAAGGGGGATGGATGCTACATGGGAGATGGAAAGGAAAGAAAGGAACATGGGCTCAAGAATTAGCAACAAACGAAGTATGTATGTGCTGCACTAGTATATAAAATTCTAGCTTACAATGCCTTACAATGTGTGTATGGCGTCTAGGCGTTGTGAAGGGGGTCGGGCGCCTCGCCTCGCCGCGGCGCCTAAAAAACAATGGGCCTATCTTTGAACTGCATGCACCTTCATGTGCGGACATGGTTGTTTCGCACTTCTGATGGATCGACCTGCTCAAGGTAAAAGGAACCCATCAAGAAGAAGCTAGGCCTTCCAAAGAAAAAAGTCATAGATATTCTGAAGGTGCCACTTGACGGCCCATCGATGGGTACAAGAAGCAAGACATGACTTCCTAGCAGCCCTGCCATGAGAACGTGAAGCAAAAGAAGGCTCAACCTTTGATTTGTGATATGCATATTGAATTTGTTGTATGTGAGACCAATGTATGTTTGAAATCGCACTTTTGTGTGACCTTATTTATGTAAGACCTTATTTATGTGAGACTGAGACTATGGTAAATTTGTGAACAATTTATGTGTTTGAATTTGTGAACAATTTGTGTGAGACTGAAATTTATGTGAGACCAATGCATTTGTGCAATTTTTTGGGAAAATTGGGTATGTACCATTAAAACACTGCATGTTTGGATATGTACCATTAAAAGAATGACCTTGTGATATGTACCATTAAAAGAATGTTTGGATATGCATCTCTTTGGATTTTAGCACTTTCGTGAAGTCTCTGTTAACAGGGACATATATACCCCTGTTTCTTACAATACATGAGCCCAACAGGGATATATATATGCTTATATAAAAGTAACATATTAAAACACCTCAAAAAATTAGCATGAGCTCAACATCACCTATTAGAATATTATATTAGTAAGATATGGCATAACTTTAGCAGTACATAACATTGTTCACATCTGGATGCTTAACTGGGTTCTCTAGGTCACATATAGCACCATAGTTAACAACACATTGGTTTAGAACAGAACACATACCAAGTTACACATGCTTAGACTAAGATAACTACTCAATTATAAGTCTACGGTTGGTTCCTCCAGGTGAGATTGATGCCATCCTTCTTGTTGTCACACCTGGGCTTGTTGGAGAAAGGAAAGCCATCCTCCTTGTGGTCACACCTACTGGACTTGCTGAAGAAAGAGATGCCACACCCCTTTTTATCACACCTGGGCTTGATGTTACTTTTGGATCATCAATAATGTTCAATGGCTCAGTAACTTCGGTGGAGGCTTCAACATCTTCAGATTTCGTTTTCCTATAAGGCACAAGTCGGGTTAGTGAAAGAACATATTCCATCACATATAAGACATGAAACGTTAGCATATCAAACATAGGCATGGTAAATTACTTTTTCTATTTTTTGGATGAGGGGGTGGAAGTTCTTGTTCTAGTTCAGCTTGAGTTGCATAACATCCCTTCTCTATATGTCCAAATTGGAAGCACCTTTTGTATTGATATGGACCTCTTTTTCCTGGCTCTCCACTAGCCTTGATTCTTTGCTTCCTTGGTCTACCAGTAGGCCTTTCTAATGGTGGAGGAACCACTTTAAAACTAGGGTCATTTTTTGGCCATTGAGATTTGTCACCCATTGGAGAGATCTCGAACTAATAAGCTACCTTGAACCTCTCTACTGAATAATAGTCATCCACATAGTCCTCTACTTTTAGTTGTCTAACTTTTCCAAATAAAAAGATAGCATGAGTGCATGGTTTTCTAGACACCTCCCATTGTCCACAACCACATGTTCTTTTTGCAAGGTCAACACCATACCTCCAAGTCTTTCCTTCATTTGTTGTTCCAGATATCTTAGCTGACAGTGAGCCACTTTTGCAAAAATCATAGTGCAACCCTCGACTCTTCATGTTCAGTTCATATAGCACACTTGGGAGGATATGACCTTCAAGTCTCTTGGCTATTTCCTACCTTGTGGAAATCTTCTCCATGATCTTCTCTCTAATCTTGTCCATTAAATCAATAACTGGAAGGTCTTTGTAATCCTTAATCCAATTATTGAAACATTCAGAGATATTATTGTTAACATAATCAACTTTACATTCTTTAGAGAATTTTGATCTGCTCCATATCAGACTGTGATGCTTGTTTAACCAAGGAATTACTTTAGGACAAGCAGCTGCAATTTTCCCCATTAGATAATCGTGCATACGAGCTGTGCATGCCCATGCGCAAGGCCACATAAATTTCAGCACATCACCTTTGAACTGCTTCCTAAAATTGGCCATGAGGTGTCTAAAACACTCTCTATGCTCAACTTCACCATTGTAAGCTTTTTGGACACCATATGCTAGTCCCTTACAAGCATCATTGTGAATTGTCAACCCAGGTGGAGTCCCAATAGTCTTTTTCAGATTGGTCATGAACCAAGCCCAATTGGCATTTGTTTCTTTGAAGAAAATGCCATACGCAACTAGGTACATCCAGTTGTGTCCATCAATTGCAGTAGCTACAGCCAATTGCCCTTTATACTTTCCAGTAAGGTGGGTGGAATCAACACCAAGATATGGTCTACACCCAGCCAAAAAGCCATCAACACATACTCTAATGCACACAAACATCCTTGAAAAGTGTATTTTCCCTTTGATATTCTTGCAACCAATCTCGACAATGCTTCCTGGGTAGGATTCTTCTAGTGCTGCTTTAAATCTCCATAGCATTGTGAAGCTCTCCTCCTAAGTACCATGAAGATCATTCATTGCTAACCTTTTTGCCGACCACACTTTTCCCTCTTATTCAGCCATTGGTGGCCCTACAGCTGTCTGACCATATTCAGGTATTTCTCTCCATTCTGGATCTTTTTCCATATCAGCAAGCATCTCATCATCCACTACCATGGGCATCTTTTTGCCCGCCACACCTACGACATCATGCATCTCTTTATCCACCGGATCTGTTGTAATAGGCATTTCCTTGCACACCATATCTGCTGCAGCAGATGCCTCCTTGCCCATCACATCTATTGCAACAGGCATGTCCTTGTTCACTCCATCAGCTGCAGCAGGAAACTCTTTCCCCTTTTCATGTCCACCCACTACCATAAACATCTTCACCTGATTCAATGACATTAACAGGTCAAGAAGCTAAGCATCTGAAGTTAATTTGGAGTCCAAACCACTTTTCTAAACACCTCAAAAAGTCGCCTTTTGGTTGCTGCCCCATTTAAAATATGGATCCATATCTTTCTCCAGATCGATGAGTGCATATTCTTCTAGATCCATATTCCATTTTATGGTCCTACCCCGATTAAAAACTTTTTACCCTCATGAACAGTGAAGTAAGAGTTGACAGTAACCTCTAATCTACACCGATTCTTTGGATTTTTCCTGCAATAAATCACACATGCATCAAAAATACATAGAACAAATGTAAGGAGCTGTTGACAATAATCATAGGTCCCATTTATTCACTTCACCCAGGATTGGTTCAATTTGCACTTCACACATCCATGTATACTTATACACAAATACAAGAAAAATAGAGGAATTTAAGAGATGGTCAGAGATTACCCTTCCGAACCCCAGCAAGATCCATCTACCTCAATCCCCCTCTCCAATTTCACTTCAATGTTCTCTAAAAATCACTAAAAAGCTAGGGTTAGAAGCCATGAACCTGGTGATGGGGAGGGAGAGAGAGGAGAGAGGAGGAGCGCACACCATGGACGAGAGGAGGAGGAGGAGCAGTAGCCACCGCGAACTCAGCAACCAGTCAGCTTAGGGTTCCAACTCCTGTTGAAATGACCAATTTACCCCGCACTCATTTTGGACAGAGCAGCCACATCGAGCCCGACCACTCCCTCTCCTACTAGGTCGCCGCCCCTCCCAGTAGCGTAGCTCGCCACCCCTCCCTACCAGCGCGCCGCCACCTCCAAGCCAGCTCGGCTCGTCGCCCCTCGGCACCCCCTCCCTAACAGCGAGCGTGGCCCCTCCCAGCCAGCTCAGGTCACCGACCCTCGCTGCCCCCTCCCTGCCAGCAAGCCCGCCGTAGCCAGGCCCGCTTGCCGCCCCTAAGCACCCCCCAGCCATCTCTGCAGTCACCAACCCCATGGAAGCAGCTTGCTCGTAGGATTTGTTTGGACCAGAGGGGATTCAACAGCAGCACGACCATGATTTTGAGGCAAGCAACCAGGGGCTGGTCAGGGAGCCATGGCCCTCTTGGATGGAGGAGGAGGGAACCAACCAGCAATACATAAAGGTATGCTAATTCTTTTGCATTTACTTCGTGGAGCTGAGAAGCATGTTGGCTTTTTTTAAAATCTAATGTTAGAATGCATCCTGTAGGGCTAGGAGAAGATGGGAGATTCAGAGGTACTGGTTGTTAGATTTCATTTCAATGGGGTATTTGTTCTTGATGGATCATCAGTACAATATTGTAATGGAGATGAGGGAGTTTCACATATAGATAAGGATAAACTGTCCATCCTAGAACTTGAAGGCCATCTGACGGATCACACAAATTTTAAGAGGTCTGTTAGGATGTATTGGTTTCCATTTGGTGCAGCAGTGAATACTAGGATGAGGATGCTGGTAGATGATAAGTCATGCCTTGATATGGTAGATGCAATAGGATCTAATGGCGCAGTGGATATATACACATAATTAATTGATGTGGACATGGCTAAATTTAGTGAAACGGATTTACAAGATGGAGCAGGAGATGAAGCTGTGTTTGACCTGTTTAGAGATGAAAATGTCTTAAATTTCGATGCACATCATGGTGGCCAAATTACAGAGGATGCACAGATTGGTGAATCAAATACTGAAGATGAACAAGAAGATGGTTTAGATAGTGAATGTGAAGCCACAGGGTTCACATCTGATGAGGACGATGAAGCAAAGGAGATAAGAAACAATTATAAAACATATATGTCAAAAAGGAAGAAGAGAGGAGGCATTCCTGAGGACACCCCCACTACAATGGATCTTCCAACAGGGAATGATCCTAATAGTATGGTTCAGGTGAATGAATTTAGAGATGGCATTGCATATTTTGATTCAGATGAAGATGTATCATATGATGATGATAGTGAGACTGATGCCAAGAGAAGGAAGTGCATGTTTCCAATATTTGATAGCTGTGCCGACACACCTCAGTTTGCCTTGGACATGTGTTTTAGAGGCAAGAAGGAATTAAAAGATGCAATAGAAAGGTATACACTGAAGATGAAGGTAAATATTAGGTTTCCTAAGAATGACAAGAAGAGGTTAAGGGCTGTTTGCTCATGGAAAGGTTGTCCTTGGCTTGTGCATGCTTCATACAACTCCAAAACTGACTGGTTTCAGATTGTGACATATAATCCCAACCATCATTATTGCCCAGTCTTGAAAAACAAAAGATTATCTACAAGTAGAATATGTGACAATTATAAGAGTACTATCAAGGCTAACCCAGCATGGAAGGCTAGAGCAATGAAGGAGACAATACAAGAAGATATGGGTGTCGAGATTTCATTGACAATGGCGAAAAGAGCAAAAGCAAAGGTTATTAGGAAGGTCATGGATGCTCAGAGTGGAGAGTACTCTAAGTTATTTGACTATGCCCTTGAGCTGAAGCGCAGTAATCTTGGTAGCAGTGTGCATATTGCCCTTGATCTTGAGGAAGAGGACCATGTGTTTCAAAGAATGTATATTTGCTTGGATGCATGTCGAAGGGGTTTCTTAGATGGATGCAGGAGGGTGATAGGGCTTGATGGTTGCTTTCTAAAGGGTCCTATGAAAGGGGAGCTGCTGTCAGCTATTGGGAGAGACGCAAATAATCAAATTTACCCTATAGCTTGGGCTGTTGTGCAATATGAGAATGTAAATTCATGGAAATGGTTTCTTGGGCACCTTCAAAAAGACATGCCCCAACATTCTCAGGAAGGTAAATAAAATTAGGCATGCAACCCAATACTGTCATGTCCTATGGAATGGTGCAAATGGATTTGAAGTGAGGGACAAGAAATGGAGGTTCACGGTTGATCTGGGACAAAAGACATGCTCCTGTAGATATTGGCAAGTCTCAGGTATCCCATGTCGACATGCTTGTGCAACCCTGTTCACAATCTCAGATGAGCCGAACAATTATGTAAATACATGTTTCTCTATTGACCAATACAAGATAACTTATCAGCATGTCCTCCAACCGGTAGAGCATGAGTCTGCTTGGCCTATGTCTCCAAATCCTAAACCGTTGCCTCCTATAGTGAAGAAGATGCCAGATCGCCCACAAACAAAAAGGAGGATGGATCCTTCAGAACGAATGAACTCG